GAATGATCTTGATCATGCTCGACATTTTAACCCCGAAAGAACCATGAACCAAGGGCCACAGTGTAGGCAACATCATTTCGTGGAGACCCTTCATAGAGAGTAGAGTGCATGAGTAAGAGCGACAGAGAGGAGGGATTCCTACTCTCCTGAGCGGGAGGGAGGGTGCCCGCCTGTTGTTCCCGCAGCAGAGGGGATCTAAAAAATGAATTGGAGGGAAAGGCAGTTGTTGGCGGCGGAACGGGTGAGTGAGGCAGAGGGGAACTTCTATTCTCTGCAGTATAGGATTCAGATTACGAGCCGGTAGTACTGTGCAAGTACAGCCTTGTCCTGCTTCAGGACAAATAGCAAGTGAAAAACCATCCGTGCGCCGAAGTTCAGGGCACCGAAGAAGAGAGAGAAGCAGGTAAAAGGAGGAGTGAGAAGGATTTAAAACGGGCAAGTAGTGCCTGAGGCAAGGAAACTGAGGCACCAGTAAAGGAAAGCAAGCAAGATGACTTGGGCTGTTGGCAGGAGAACGTGGTAGACTGCCTACTCGTACGAACAGAATAAGCCGTTTTTGGGGTTGTGGAGGGTGTACATTGTAACCCCCTCCCCTCCACAAGAGCCGCCATATTGAAGAACGCATTTTGAAGTGTTTTGTGTTTAGAAGAGTTTCGCGCGGCTTGAAGTAGAGCCCCTTGTTTATGTGTTTCTGTGCGAAGTGTTACCAGCAATATGTATAAACTGTTGGGAGGTCTTAAGGACTACCTGAAATGGCAGGACATAGTGACAGACAACGCAGTGTTCAGGCTGCACAATTTGTTTACCACGGTGTTATTGCTCACGTGTTCCCTTATCATCACTGCCACACAGTACGTCGGGAACCCTATTCAGTGCATTGTTGGCAAAGGTCTTCCTACCAACGCGATCAATACATACTGTTGGATTACGTCCACCTTCACGATGCCTGACGCATACCTGAGAGAGGTAGGCAGTCAGGTTGCTCATCCAGGCATCGCCAACGATTACGGTGAGGAAGAACACAAGAAATATTATACGTACTACCAGTGGGTGTGTTTTGTGCTGTTCTTCCAAGCACTTTTGTGTTACTTGCCGAAGTACATTTGGGACACTGTGGAGGGAGGCCTCATGAGGTCCATCGTCATGGGACTGAACATCGGAGTATGTCACGAGGACGAAAAATGCAACAAAAAGAAGATTCTCATTGATTATCTCATACGTCACGTGCGGGTAAGAACCGGAAATGTATATTGTTACGCGAAACTTTATCCCTTTTCCTTACGAAACAGTGCAGTTAGAGCAACTAGTAGCCCCGTATAAAGTTCAGGTACCAGATCTGAACTTTGGAAAGTTTCATGCAGTAGTTGAAGTCCCTTCACTGTCCAACAAGTACGGGAGCTCATCTGAGCGTATCTAAAATCAATGAATCACACCAAAACCAGTTCCGAATTTATTAGAAACGCGAAGCATTTGTTTCAGTGTGACTTGCAACTATAACGTAACATAACACTTCCTAATTTCTTTACCGACAGTATCAGAAGACCAGTGGTAAATGTTGTTTACACCCTCCGACGTTCTGTGGCATCTGCCTGCCCCTCTTTCGCGTCTGTGGGCTTTTTTCATGGCTTACCTACAGAGCATGTCCAGACCAGTATGGAACAGTGACAAGAGTTGTAACTAAAACCGTGTAGGGTTACCAACATGTCAGGTGCCAACTTACATGTGACGTAAAACATTGGACTTCACGAGCGAGAAAATAAATCATATTAGCTGTTTTTATCTTTACCTTTTACAGATTGTGCAGGTTATTAATTGGTTGTTACTTCACAGTAGAAATTATCAAACAAAAACTTTGGAGGGGAAACAGTTACCGCTTTTTAACGTAGTGTGGCTGGTCGCTTTCACTTCTACGAAATAATAAAAACCCCAACACGGCAGAGGATTTTTCTTCTAACTTCTGTGTCCAGACCGACTTTGGGGCCCACCCAACATCTTGTCCAAACGCTGACCACTCGCCCCCATCAAGTGCCGAGGTTAAGAATGAGTGAGAAGTATACCTTCTCTCTCCCTCTCCCCCCAAGCCCATATAAAACGTACTATTTTTACTTTACTTTTTACTAAATTTAATAATTACAGTGACACTTTTTGGGATTAGCTTGCTTCCGCTAGTGAAGTGGCTAGCTGTAGGGTGAATGCCCACGGTTAGATTCTCAGCAGAGGTAGGATTTTGTCATTGTGATTAAAATGTCGATGTAGGTATTCTGTATAACGGCGCCGTCCTGGACTAAGAGGTAGATACCAACTTTTCGGAGAAACTTCAGCCCTGAAGATGGAGGCAACATGTTTCCCCGAAACTCTGGTGTCTACCCACAAGTGAACACGGCGTTACAACTCTTGAAAAAGAACTTGGACGGGAATGTCTTTTTCTTCGCCACGGTGAGGCCAGTTATGGGATTCACCAAGCGTTCTTTCTGGGGTTACTGCGTGTGTATCTCCATCTCACCAAATAATGCCGAGTTTTAGAATGTCCGGAATTTTCTCCGTTCCCAAAAAAAAAGACGAAATACTTCAAGTTAACTTGTAAACTTCAACCTGTTTTTCATAACTTGTTCAGAAGACGAACTACTCAACTGAGTAATAAATTGTTTAAAACATCCGAATTTCCGCATGCTTAAACAAAACTGCGATGGTGTCCATTTTAATATGATTCAAGGACGTGTGGGTTACATTCTTGGGGCACCGTAAGTGTGTCAGCTTTGTAAGGTCAAGGGCACATGTGAGGGCGGCACTCTGCCTGCTTTAGTGACCACGAATGACGTAACAAACAGGAACCGTGGTACAAGAAGCTACAACTCGTTTCTGGTTTTCAATGTCCAACATAGTTGCAAGCATACAAATTATACTTCAAAACACAAACTCAAGTTCTTGGCTTACGTAATTCATTAGCAACGGATTTTTGAGCTGCCTGATTGCGATCTGTGAAAGATGATTTGAACGGTGAGTGGAAGGAAGCAGCCGTGGCTTATTTTATTAGCCCGCCATCGATCTGAAGGGACTGGTAAATCACGAAAATTTCAGACTGACCTTGGACTTCAGATTTAAGCCGGACACTCAGTACACGAAGCATAAGTACTGACGAAAACAAAATGTCCACGGCATAATTCTTAGATAATACAGAGGGAAGTGCGCGACTTGTGGCTTCCCCCCCCCCCCCCTTTCCCAAAGGACAGCGAACATCGAAATTCGAATGGTCAGGAACTAACGTGTCAATGCTGAGTCATACTGATAGATCACTGGGCAAAGAGATGTAATCTTCCGAGTTGTGTCCTTACTGAATACGTTCAACGTTTTTCCTGCTTCCATGACTGAGAATTTTAATGTATTATTACCGACTTGATTTTGGTTTATTTTATTCCATGGAGCAGTCCTTGAAAATGTGGACAGTCGCTTCGGTAGCCGCGGAACCTGATATTGATATTTTATTTAAGTCTTCAAGTAAAGTCGCAGTTGTATTATCAGTTAACACAAACATTTTAGGCTCCTAATAACTTCCGTTACGAAATTTTGCACAGACCCAACACATCGCATGTGGTGTAAACGGAGTTGCCACATTGTAAATGAAATTTCTGTCGTATCCCATGTAAACACGCCATAAATCAACACGGGGGCTAATGAAACACCTGTAAAATAAAGTATGGGGTAAACATCTCAGTGTCGCTTATCTCACTGAAACAACACTCCAAACAAATGTCAATATTTAACTGAGAGACCGAAACGTCTTGTAATCCAATACAAACAGCCGGTGTCCTCCCATCAGACAGGCCGTTCGTGTTTCAACTACAGTGATTTTGTACGCTAATAAGAGTGAACCTCGTAGGTAAGGATTTGAAAGGAGGTGGTTGTGTCCTGGATGAAGGATTATTCGCCCTCACAGGTTAAGAAAATGACTAACGATCGAGAAAAAAATGCAGTGAGATTGTGAGATATTCGTGGGAAGGGAAAGTACAGTATTGCGGGTGAACAATGGTTCACACGGATCCTATCCTGAGCCACTCGAATCCAGTCCACATTCTTACACCCTGCTTCTTGAAGATACTAAATGAGAATGTCCATTTCGTTCTTCTTGTTTCATATTTTATTAACAACGCTTTCTCAACTACGTACACGTAGTCAAAATACAGCATGACCACTAATAAGAAGCAGTCGTGGGTGTTTTCGGTATCAGTCGACTACAGCTTTGTGTTTAAAAAATGTTTTCACATAAATATGTTGGTATTACTGCTCTGTTTCTAAGTAACATCGAAAAGATGAAGTTTTTCCTAGTGAATCATTCTACAAGTTTCCTCATTGTTCGCACACGTAAACTACGGAAGTGACTGGGATTGTTAAGTGTCTTGACCATTATCACTGTCAGGACGTCAGTTAAATCAGTTCAGTGCATGACCTCTCTTCATGTCGCGACACTCTTGCAGGTAATAGCGATGTCATCCACCCTGGGCAGTCACTGCTGGCTGACTACTTGCTATTTCCGGGAACAGGAAGTGTGCTGAGCGACTGTTCTACCTCCAGACTGTATAAAATTACGTAACGAATGAACATTCTCCATCATCAAATCACAGATAGCAGGAAGTCGACTTGATCGAAGAATCCTGTATGCTTTTGTACTGTAATGTATAAACAGGAGCTTCAGTTGAGGCTGTAGTGACATGCGATTTCACGAAGCCCTTTCAAATCTATTAAACGAATTAATAGCCTTTATCTGCCCCTCCCTTTTTATATAGAAAAAAAGGTCTCTCAAAATAAGGGAAGAATGTTGATTTTGCTTGAGAACAGTTTTTTAGTTGGGAATCCTGAGCGGAAGACACCATTTGGAAAACCTGTGTGTAGATGGAAGGCTAATATTAAAATGAATCTTAAGGAACATGTGGAAGGGATGGAGTGAATACATGTGGGTCAAGACGGACTGATAGAAGGATTAAAAGGTGGGGAATTTGTTAACTAGCTAAGTGACTGTCAGCTTCTCAAGGACTCTGCTGTATGGATTCAGTTATGTTCAAAGCCGGGTGGTAGTAATTGAAAAGTGCTTGTTCAGATACGAATGTTTTGCGTGTTATGAAGATGGTGGTACGAAAGAGAAAAACAAGTGGATGTGACATCATGAAACGTGTATTCAGTTACCATGATGTCAGAAACATCTGCAGATTCATTTAATAGTGCTGGTAACATCTTTGTTATTTGTCTTTGCATGTAGTAGTGTAGTTCAGACTGTTTGGCCTTATTTTGTATTGCCTTGAAATTGTTCGCTACGTAAATACGTGCATGTGAATCTAAAACTTGCAAAAGGATTAGATGAATAGCATACCAATATCTGTCATCCCACATTTCTTCTTCTACCTCCATCCAAATTATTCCTCTGCTTTTAAACTCATTTCTTAGTTAATCCATCTTCATCTGCGTCTTTATTTGGATCTTGTGTTTCTTTTTTTCATTCCACACCTCATTCTGTTGCTGCCCACAAAACAAAACCATTGTAATCTTTACATGTGTTGAACAATTGAGCATTCTTTCACTGCCATTTCCTGTACAACTTGCATTGTATTTGGTTTTATATTTTACATTCTGTTTCTGCTGTGAACATGAACTTGAGAGGTGTTTGGGATTTACAAATTATATATCTGTCCCTCTCTCTTCAGCTTTTTCCAAAAGTTTTTATAGGAAAAATATTTTGGGTACTTGTGGGTTATCGGGACACATCGCTTTAAAAATAAGTTAGGTTAGTTTAGGCTAGGTTGGGTTAGGTTAGCTTAGGTTAGGTTAATGTGTGTGGATGATAACTTTATACTATATGTCATTTATCCACACACATTAACCTAACCTAAGCTAACCTAACCCAACCTAACCTAACCTAAACTAACCTAACTTATTTTTAAAGCGATGTGTCCGGATAACCCACAAGTACCATATTTTGTTCTCCAAGTTCAAGGCTTACAAATGTGACTTATTTTCAACAGGCCATCTTTGCATGTATTGAACTCTGGATATTCATATATAAACTGATGTCATCTTTTCAGAGGCACAACACGTATGCCATCCGCTACTGGATGTGTGAGGCACTGTGCCTGGTGAACATCATTGCACAACTCTACTTCATGGACCACTTCTTCGATGGTGAGTTCATCAGTTATGGGCTGCGTGTCATGACATTCTCAGAACAAGCGCAAGAAGATCGTGTTGACCCCATGGTGTACGTATTCCCACGTGTCACCAAGTGCACCTTCCACAAATATGGACCTTCTGGTTCAATCCAGAAGCACGATTCATTATGCATCCTCCCTCTCAACATTGTCAATGAGAAAACGTACATATTCCTTTGGTTCTGGTTCATTATTTTGGCAACCCTGCTGTCACTGTTGCTTCTGTATCGAGCACTCATAATTGCCGTACCGAAAGTGAGACCGTATTTGCTCCACGCGCGTAACAAGATGGTCCCCCGAGAAGTGGCCGCGGCAATATCGCGGAAGACGGATGTTGGAGACTGGTGGATCCTGTATATGCTTGGTCGAAACATGGATCCGGTCATATACAGAGAAGTCGTTGCAGAGCTGGCCAAGAAAATTGAGACAGCTGCCAGTAATGCACCCTAAGTATTAATTAGTGAAGGGAAGTGGCAGGTATTGTTAATGATATTCATTTTTGATTCCCCGTAATCTGTAGCACATTCCCTTTTGAGGGTTACTGTGCTGTAATCAATTGCTCACCTATCTCATTAATTATTCATATTTGCATTGAAAATAAAATCTCAGTTTTAAGAGACGTAATTGGTTGCCTATATGTGATATAAAGTTGGGGTACGTGTTTTTATAGTTATTAGATGTTTTGCTACACATTCAGTGGTTCTAAAGTATCGCAGTAGTGGAAAAAAGATGGCAGTCACATAGCATTTAAAATGATAAAGTCTTGACGAATAAATTTCTGTAAATTTCGAGTGTTCGATAGAGAATTTATGTGTCGTGGTACGAGACGCTTTTGATAATACTATCTTAGAAATCAAACCAAAATTGTACGTCTTAACTAATGCACAAATGATCAAATGTTTTTTGAACAGATGTTATAACTTTCCAAAAACATGTTCAGAAGTTAACTAATCTTCCTATATATATATATAGTTTATACAAGTATTTTTTCCATTGATATGAGAATGTAAAATTCATTTATATGATAAATCATTATATTACGTAATAGGAATTGTTGTTGAAGACTTCCTATTGGTGTAATTTCACTGGAGAGTAATATGTATTGTATCATACGATTATGACGATGAGATTAGGGTGGTGTATGCATGCTTAAACAGCTGTTATGTTCCTTAAATTGTATGTAAATGTAATATTGTGGACATGTTATTGAAGGCATAACATGATCAGTAATTAAAGACAAGACTACCATTGGGAGAAATACCTTTCTCTCTCTGTCTTTCAGCCAGTTACATGTTAAGAGTTGTCATCGTATGCTGTATTCGATTCTTAGAGTAAACGGTGATTAACCTTTGTCAATTGATCTTTGTAATGGAGAAGTGGTGTGTTATTTAACGCACAAATTAGAGTTTTTTTTAACATTATTTTCACAAGTTTTGGTTTTAGAGTGTTGATGAAGAAACTGATCAAACTAAGTAAGATTTGAGGTTTTCACAGCGGTGAGTATGAAGATTTGTGTCTTCTGGGTTGTTGCGCTGTGTAGTCTGGTCGATGTTAACCAACGTTTCAGAGGCCATACTACCTCCATCATCAGGGAGTATGACCTTTGAAACGTTGGTTAACATCGACCAGACTACACAGCGCAACAACCCAGAAGACGGAAATCTTCAGATAAAATTAATTTTCCAGAAATGTTCGCATTTATTAATGAAGAAAATGTGCACTGATGGGATATAATTTTGTTGTTATTGTATCAATGAATGACAGTTCTGTGTTCCTTTAAGGATGTTATAAAGTAAATACATGCGCTCGGAAAATAAGTTCTCCTAAAACATTTTTTGTTCTTTTGTCTGCCGTCGGTCACATTTTCAGATGCTGCAGCATTCTTAAAAATATTGTCCTATTTTGTAGTCAGATATTAAATCAATTAAAACTAAATCCTTCAGAAAGAACTTGAACAAAACTATAGCCATCTTGTTTAAGCTAGGAATAAAATCCTCATCTGCTCGTGGTGCAGTAGTTGTCGAGACAGAGCTACTTGGGAAAATCAGAGGATTCTCCAAAACCTATTCTAAAGCTGTTTTGTGGAACCCTGGGGTTACACAAAAGTTCACCAAATACATTTTTTTAACTTCACAAACACCGGCCAAGAAGTCATTCAGTATACCAGAGTATTTACAAATCGTAACCTGCATGTAGATTTCTTAAATTGAGAGCTGACAAGAAATGTATTTTCTAATTTCTGTTACGTTTTTATGTAATTTCTACAAAAGGGTTTTATAATGATGAGATCTCTTAACAAGGCAACATGGAGAACCTTCCATACTGTGTGTTCAAATGATGAGACAAATGAAACAAACAAATGTCTGTATGCATTTTGTTTCTAGTGTGTGTATTATGTAATGAACATTTTATATATAATTTATATTAGACTACATACAAGTGGATAATAAAGCTGAAATTTTATCTACATGTGCTACGAGCATGCAGTTTATACACTGTCGATATACATTTTGAAGGCAGTTTGTAAGTTGCATACTAATTCAAGAAACAAACAAAAAACAGGTTGTAATTTTTGCCCCATTTTGAACACCTGTCTTCCTCATGGAACACATTCCAACCAAATTGTAATATGAATTTCTTTACATTGGAATTGCACAGTATTTTGAATACAGTTTTAATGAGATTTTTGATAAACCTGTGTTTTATTCTACCCCATATCTTTCCACTTAAAAGTATTCTGAAAATGGTGCGAGGGGGAATTCAAGTGATATTTTGGCAGGCAAACACTGCAATAAATAGCCCATTTCATTTTACGATATCTCCATTTCATATGCACTTTATTCCATAATCCTTCACTGCCTGGCTGACATACTAAATTAAAGCAAACACAAGCATTTTCTTGCTATAGAATCCAAAAGTAATCCTGTCTTTTAATTATAGGCCTATGTAAGAAAGTTACTATTTCTTCCTGACATATTAATCTGTCAGCTATCCTGGAAAATAGGACAATGTGTGAATTTTATCAGTACCTTATTTCGATCGTGATAGAGGATGAAAAACAGTTTCATGCTGTTGATGCAAGACTGCGACGTCATTTAATGTTACGTCAGACAAGGGCGGTGTGATTTTATAATAAAAATTTTGAAACCGTAAATTAAAATGCTTAACCCTCGTAGCCGAAGTCCTAACGACCACCACCTGTGGTGGGAGAAAATTGTTCCAGAACGTAGCCGCGAGCAGAAGAATGTTGAGAAGTGTGGGCTGCCCAGGAAAACAAATGGGATTAACTTTACAGAGATGTTCTGGCCACATATTGCAAAGAACTGAGAACGCACTAAATCACGTATTACGATCCTGGTTGAAGAGCATTACACTTTAGTTCTTTAACCAAACGCAGCGGTAGGGGTTAGCGCTTCTGTCTCACATTAGGGAGATCTGTCAGGAGCCCGGCTTACTCGACTCAAGTTCGTCGTGTCTCATCACGTAAATGCGGTAGTATCTTCTAAGAGGCCTTGGCAGTTTTATCATTCAAATTAATGCTTCCGTTTTGATACTCTACAACACGGGTTATGAACTTTCTCAGGAACCCACAACCTTATCATCCCTTGTGTTGAGACCTGCAAGATATGAAATAGCGTTCATTTGTCACGCAATAATAGTCTTTAACTAAATCAGTTACTAGTGAGGTCCCTCCAATTGATAAGACACGTCCTAATTCTTGATTTTGCGTTCATCATTATGATGAATACATGCTCACAGCGATAGTTTACTGCCAAACACTGATGACGTTAACAAAGAGTGTCTTCTGGTAACCGATCATTTACCGGAGACTATTATACGTCACTAAGATTGACACAATATCAAAAAATGTGCACGGACCGCAGGTAACATCAGCGGACAACATGCGGTCTTCGGGTTCAGACTCCCTGATAAAAATGACCTGTACAGGTGAGAAAGCATAGTTAAATAAATTAATAGCAATGAACCGCAACGGTCCACGAGACTAGTAGCAGAATAAGTTGTTTTCAAATAGCGTATCTTTAAACAGATACGTATTTGTCTTCAGCTAAGAGGTTACAACACTTGTTTGTCTATCTACTTTAAATTGCATAGTATAATACTGATAACCCCCGCGGTAATTGATACTAGCGCCGCGATCGTAAGCGTCATTATTGAAAGTTATTAATCCAGTTCAGACGTATAACAGCATAGTAGCACCCCTCTTTGAATACCCGAACCTTCGAAGGGTCCATGCCCTCAGGACCATTAATCTGTGTAACATGTAAAAACGTCTACACACTATAATCAGGACCAATCAAGTAAGACTTTTATAAGAGTTATGCATAACCCACAATAATTTCAGAAGAAGACCCGTTCCTAACCCGGAACCCTCCAGTCAAGTATGTAGAGAGGTTTATCTTATAGTAAGTTCAAAATGTATAGGCCTTCCAAATGCGTTCTTTTGACATTTGTTATCTTAGTGGTCTCTGAGATCATTTATGATAGATTAAAATCGGTTGTAAATATATCATATACTTGATGCCATTACTCCATACAATCGTAAATATTTTATTTTTATTTCATTAAATATATACCATACTCAAAAAAGTCTCCAATAAAACTTGGAGGTCTTAATAAAATGCAAGACTTGCACGAAAAGCTTATTCTGTGACAATTTAAGATTTGAGTTTCTTGAAATTATTGAACTGATATGGCTCAAAAACCAAACAATCGCGTTTGGGTCAAAAGCATACGAGGTGCGATCGGAAAGTTTCAAGACTGCGCGTATGAAAACCCGTACACTTATCTCAGGTATTAAATTCATCCATCACCCTCGACGTAGTTCCCCTGGGAGTTAACACAACGATCCCAGCGCCGCTGCCAAGCCTGGAAGCATCCCTGGAAATCTTTCTTTATCAGCCTGTCAAGCACCATCTGCGATTCTGCCTGAATCTCTTCTATCCACGTCTTTTCGGAGAGATTAAATACGAGGGACATCTTGTGTGGAGTGCTTCAAAGGACAGTATAATATTAAAATGGGAGGAGCAGATTGTGAATACGTAGA